ACCTCGTGATCCACCCACCTCAGCCTCCCAAAGTGCTGGGATTATAGGTGTATAGCTCCCAGCCAGGATGCTGCTCCCTGCTCCTAGAGACTGTTCTCCATTCTGTCTCAAGGACCCCTACAACTCAGTAACTGAAAATCTCCCTCAAGTCAAATTCGTCTTCCACTTTGAACCTCTGATGGCCTATTCTGCTAGTAGCCAAAGAAAACTGCTTTCAAAGGGCGTCTGTGGTTAGGTCAGGTCCGCCCCTCTCTCTAGCACAAGGTCTGCTGATTACCGACTTTAATGACATCTACACATTTTCTCTTGCCATGTCACATAATTATGGCCTTAACACCAAGGGGCAGAGGTCAGAAGGATCATCTCAGGATTCTACCTACCATAGGTGCTGTGCCAAGGGACACAGAGCAGGTGTGCTGTGAACACATTCATTACAGGATCACTCCCTCTGTGCCAGGTGCCTCCATGCTGCAGAGGGCAGGACACAGGGACAGGTGGTGCATTCACAAAGAATTTGGAAACAAGGCAGATGCTGACCAGAGCTTGCCTCTGAATGCCCCTTGTTGGGGATGCTACACAGAATGCCCAGGATTTTTAGTTGAACCAACAAGGAGGCTTTGAGAGGCGACATCTGAGCTGGGTCGTGAAACACATAAAATTTCAAGAAGCACAGAAAGGGCAGGAACTGAGGGTAAACAAGGACTATCGGCCAGGTGCAGTGGCTCACACCTGTAATGCCAGCACTTTGGGAGGGTGAGGAAGGCAGATCACAATGTCGGGAGATTGACATCATCCAGCTAACATGGTAAAACCCCGTCTCTACTAAAAATACAAAAAAATTAGCTGGGCGTGGTGGCACACCCCTGCAGTCCCAGCTACTTGGGAGGCTGAGGCAGGAGAATTGCTTGAACCTGGGAGGCAGAGGTTGCAGTGAGCCGAGATTGCTCCACTGCACACCAGCTTGGGTGCAGTCTCAAAAGAGACTTTTCCTCAGTCTCAAGAAAAAAAAAAGTATCTGCTGAAGGCACACATTGATTATGAAGGGAATGCATCAGTATTACATTAACAATGAACATAATTGTAAGTTTTATATAAACCAGCCTGTTAAGAATTACCAACGGAATAAAAGTTCGCATGTTTGGAATATCTAACAAATGCCAGGCACTATGTATACTCGATGCACTAGGCACATTGTAACCTTAGCTTATTTAGTCCTTAAAGAACCCTACACAGTAGAACTTTTTATTCTTACAACTTAACTGAAATATCATTTGCATACTAGAAAAATCACTCATTTAAAGTGCACAATTTAATGGTTTTCAGTAAATTCACAGAGTTGTGCATCTATCACCACTAAAATCTAATCTATTTTAGAATATTTTAATTATACTCAGAAGAAATTCTATGCCCCTTAACCATGACACCCTAATTACTCCATAGCTTCCAGCCCTAGGCAACCACTAATGTAATTTCTGAGTGTGGATTGGTATATTCTAAACATTTTATATAAATGGAAACAAAGAGGCCAGGTGTGCGGTGGCTCACGCCTGTAATCCCAGCACTTTGAGAGACTGAGGCGGGTGGATCACCTGAGGTCAGGAGTTTGAGACCAGCCTGGTCAACATGGTGAAACCCTGTCTCTACTAAAAATACAAAAAATTTGCTGGGTGTAGTAGCAGACACCTGTAATCCCAGCTACTCAGGAGGCTGAGGCAGGAGGATCACTTAAACCTGGGAAGCAGAGTTTGCAGTGAGCCGAAATCCTGCCATTGCAACTCCAGCCTGGGCAATAAGAGTGAAATTCCACCTCAAAATTAAAATGAATACATAAATAAAAAATTTTAAAAATGGAAACAGAATATGTGAGATTTTGTGTCTGGCTTTCACATAAGATGCTATGCGAAAGGTCCATCCGTGCCTCAGCATGTGTCAGTACTTCATTCCTTTTTATTGCTGAATATTTCATTGTATGGATTTACCACATTTCATTTAATTATTAATTAATTGACAGACATTTGAATTGTTTCTACTTTTGGCGATTATGAATACTGCAGCTATGAATATTCACAAGTTTTTGTGTGGACATATGTTTCCATTTTCCTTGGGTATATAACCTAAGAATGAACTTGGAGGATCATATAGTGAATTCTATATTTAACCGATTGAGGATGAGGTAGGAATTTGTCTCTTCACTTTAGGATTGAGAAAGCTGAGGCTCAGAGGGGTTAAAATAGCTGCCCAAGATTATAGAACAGAGAAGACTGAAACACATATTCATCATACACCAAGGCTCTAGACTCCCCGGCTCTACATACATACAAAATAAAACTGATGTCTCTTTTAACAAGTCTCGTTTTAAAATATACATTTCTCAGGCCGGGCGCAGTGGCTCACACCTATAATCCCAGCACCTTGGATCACAAGGTCAAGAGATCGAGACCATCCTGGTCAACAAGGTGAAACCCCGTCTCTACTAAAAATACAAAACTTTGCTGGGTGTGGTGGTGCGTGCCTGTTGTCCCAGCTACTCGGGAGGCTGAAGCAGGAGAATTGCTTGAACTCAGAAGGCGGAGGTTTCGGCGAGCCAAGGTTGTGCCATTGCACTCCAGTCTGGGTAACAAGAGCGAAACTCCATCTTAAAAAATAAATAAAATATACATTTCTCAAGAGCAGAAATGTTTGTCTGTTTTATCTGCTGCATGCAAAAGTTCTAGTGCCTAAAAGAGGGGTGGCACAGTAGGTGCCTAATGAATATTTGTTAAATTAAGGTGAGAATGAGAGTAGGTGACTTGAAAGTGGGTGAGTAAGGATGTGAAAAATCCTCTGAGATTCCTTTTTTTTTTTTTTTGGTTGGAGTTTCCGTCTTGTTGCCCAGACTGGAGTGCAATGGTGCAATCTCTGCTCACTGCAACCTTCACCTCCTGGATTTAAGCAATTTTCCTACCTCTGCCTCGCAAATAGCTGGGATTATGGGTGCCGGCCACCACTCCCATCTAATTTATGTGTTTTTAGTAGAGACAAGAGTTCACCATGTTGGTCAGGCTGGTCTCAAACTCCTGACCTCAGATGATCCACCCACCTCGGCCTCCCAAAGTGCTGGGATTACAGCCGTGAGCCACCGCACCTGGCCTGAGATTCCTTTTTATGTCCAGAGTTCCATCAGAATTGGTGCTAAGATAAATTTTTCAAAGCCTTAGAGCTGGCTTCAGCCATGTTGCACAAAACATGCTCTCTCCTCAGAACCAACGTGGAAAGGACTGAAGCTGTAGTTTCTAGTGACCCTGCTGGCTCATGGAATTCAGTGCCCAGAAGAGAGTCTATTCACGGAGAGGCAAATAGGGATGTCCTCTAAGTTAACATTCTAAAAAAGGAAACTCCAGTCTGTGGGTAAGAAAAAGATCAGAAACCTCAGGGTCTCAGCTTTCTTGAAATTCATGTTTTGCCCAAGTGAGTCATCTGGGACTATTCTGGAGCTACAGTTCTTGGAGGGCCTAGGAGTGAGACCTGGCTGGCAGCCCTGGAGCATAGGAAAGATGCATGCCAGTGAAATGAGGAAATCTTGTCTGGGAGCTGAGACACAGGGCTGAGAGCTGGATGATCTGAGAATGGAGGGCTGATGGAAGTCTTGAGTCCAGGATCCATCTCAGGGATCTCAGGCAGACAGAGGAAAGGGCTCAGATTCTGAGAAAGAGCCAGCTGTCCCCTCTGCTTACAGAGCTTCTAGAATGAGAACTCTTAATGTATTAAACGTGGGTGGGTAAGAAGAGATCTGAATGAGAGGGGCTGGTCTTGGTCCTGACTGGTGTTGGCTGAGTCCCTGTCCCTTCTCAGCCTCAGTTTTCCTATCGGTAAAAAGTTGGTGGTCTTTCAAGCTCTGAGACTCTATTCTGGGGCTTTCTTCCTCTCTTCTTCCTCTTCTTCTGAGCTGAACTCAACAATCCACAAGTTTCCATCCAAATCAAATAGAAATCCTGGGCCTGGTTTATTGAGTCAGTGCTTTCTTCTTCTTTTTTTTGAGACAGAGTTTTGCTCTTGTTACCCAGGCTGGAGTGCAATGGCGCAGTCTCAGCTCACCGCAACCTCCACCTCCTGGGTTCAAGCAATTCTCCTGCCTCAGCCTCCTGAGTAGCTGGATCTACAGGCACGCGCCACCATGCCCAGCTAATTTTTGTATTTTTAGTAGAGACAGGGTTTCACCACGTTGACCAGCATGGTCTCGATCTTTTGACCTCATGATTCACCTGCCTTGGCCTCCCAACTGGGATTATAGGCATGAGCCACCGTGCCTGACTGAGTCAGTGCTTTCTTTACAAATATCTGGAGGCTCTTCTGGAATCACCTTCTAGCACAGGACTTCCTGAGAGCCCCATTTCCTGCTTCAGTGTCTCGCCTTGTGCCAATCTACTTCCCCACTCAGCCCCACTCACCCAAGATCTTATGTCTCTCAAAAACCTCCCTCTTTTTTTTTTTGAGATGACGTTTCACTCTTGTTGCCCAGGCTAGGGGGCAATGGCAGGATCTTGTCTCACTGCAAACTCCACCTCCGAGGTTCAAGCAATTCTTTTGCCTCAGCCTCCTGAGTAGCTGGGATTACAGGCATCCACCACTATGCCCAGCTAATTTTTGTGTTTTTTTTTTCCCCTGGGGCAAAAAGACTCAACTTTTAATTCTAACTGAACAAACTGTCTAGGAATGTCTCCAAACAATGGAACCAAAAGAAACATGATAAAATTCTCCTGATGAAGAAACCAAGAGTTTGTGCCAGCCCCAGCTTCTGAGGGCAAGGTCAAAAACAGCCCACTCCTGAAGCCAACCCTGTCCCCATGCAGAGTTCACAGCCCAAGAATAGGATTGGGGATGGGTGAAGGACCTGTCCCCTCTTCCATCATGCTGGGAGCTCTTAGAAAAAGTCACTGGTGGGCAAGCTCTTCCTCCCACCCCATGGAGACCCTGTGGGCACCTTCCAGAAAGCCAGGGAGCAAGATGGGAGAGTGCTGGTGCCCTCCGGGCCTTTCAGCCAATGCTCCACTCCAGTCCGCTCAACAGGCTGCTCCCAGAGCCCAGGGTGGGGATTAAATAAAATATGCATGAGAGACAGAAACTCAAATGCCTCACCGTCTCCATGATGCAAGTCACAGAGCAGAATACAACAGCCCTAGTGGCAAGCGCCAGCCCTCAGAAGATGCGCTCGAACTCCATCTGGTTGGTGGTGGCGGGATTGCGGCTCTGGTTGGTGGACTGCTGGGTGATCTGGCTGCCCTTCCGGCGCGGCGGTGCCAGGTACTCAAACATGGACGTCAGGCTGGTGGAGAGCATGCCCTTGAGGTTGGACGGCATGGGGTCAGACCAGAAGAAGTTGTGGTGAGGGCATTGTCGCTGTCAATGCGCTGGGCAGGGTCCAGCACCAGCAGCTTGTCGATGAGGTCCAGTGCATATGGGTCGTGCACGTAGGCCTTCAGCCTGTCCTTAACCTTCCGCTTCTGGCCCTTGACCAGCTCCAGCTTGTCGTACAGCTCATACTTGTCTATGTTTGGCCACATCTCAGGAGTGATGGAGCCGCAGAGCTGACTGATGAGGGCGAGCTGGTGCTGCTCCGTGTTGCCCTGCATGATGGGGCTGCAGGTCCACATCTCTGCTATGATGCACCCAGCACCCCACAGGTCAATGGGGGGGGCCATAGTCTTGCTCCCCGAGCAACAGCTCCGGGGGCTGGTACCAGAGTGTCACCACACAGTTGGTGTAGCGGTAGGGCTGGCTATTCTTGGCAAGGCTGAAGGCCCGGGCCAGCCCAAAGTCTGCCAGCTTCAGGACCCCATCACGAGTGATAAGCACATTAGCAGCCTTCTTGTCCCTATGCAGGATCTTGTTCCTGTGGATCTGCATCACCCTCTTGATCTCAGACAGCGTGAACTTGACCAAAACATTTCTCAACAGCCCAGCAAGGTCACGCTCACAGAAGTCAAACACCAAGTATATAGTGCCCTTGCAGCGGTTCTAAGGGGAAGCTTTGCTTCGACAAATCTCAATCAAGCTGACCACATTCTCGTGTTTTAGAAGCCGAAGGATCTTGATCTCCCGCAAGGCTGTAATGGGGAACCCCTCTTTCTCATTTGCCATCAGCACCTTCGTCAGAGCCACCTTCAGGCTGGTCTTGCGGCGCTTGGCCTTAAACACCTCCCCGAAGGGAGTTGGCTGATCTTGGCAAGCTTCTCATATTTGGTAACTTCATCACAAAAGGGGCACTCAACCAAGTCGTACTGCTTTGCCATGGCCACCCCCAGCCGCCACTGCTGCCGCTCCTGCTCCAGGTCCCGCCGCCAAGCTCCAGGCTCCTCCATGGCCGCGCCACTTCCACCTAATTTTTGTATTTTTAGTAGAGCCGGGTTTTTTCACCATGTTGGCCAGGATGGTCTCAATCTTTTGACCTCATGATCCACCCACCTCAGCCTCTCAAAGTGTGGGATTATAGGCGTAAGCCACTGTGCCCGGCCAAGAACCTCCCTCTTGACCCAATCAAACCAAATCACCTTCTTCCTCTAAGTCACCCGGTGTCCTGTGGTCCAGGCTCAGGGAATGGTTCACTGACTGTGCTGATCACAACTTGCTATGGACTTCTTTACATTGTCCTAGACAATTTCTTGACTGCCACGATTTCAGTTGCTACTTCAGTTACTACTTTTAAGCCAGTATATTTTCATAGCACCCCAGAACCTCCTCCTAAACCCCAAACCAACTGCCTTAGATCCCAACACCTTGTGGCCATAACCTGAGCACCCTCCTGAGGCTCCCCCCGCATCGTGGCTCCTTACCGTCTTTCACTCTTTACATCTCATCAATAACTGTGTCTGCTGATTTTTCCTTGGAGATATGTTTCATACCATCCTTCTCCTCTCCATACCAAGACAGCCATCTCTGCTCCAAGCCTCTCATTTCTCCGCAAGACAACTGTGAAAACCTCCCTCCTGCTCTCTCGCCTGCTCACTCCTTCATTCCCCTCATCACAGCTAGAGATTTACTCTAAACTCCTCTCTGATCATGCCACTCCCTTTGCCTAAGATCCTTTATTTTGTCAGAAATCCAACTTGATTAAAGTCAGACAATTTAATGTTAGCACATGGGACAATCACAGGTCATCATGAAAAAGGCCGAGATGGTCATGCTGCCTTGGCTCAAATACCACCGGAATTCTCCCTTGTGCTTTTGTGTTTCTCCTTTTCGTGGTATATTGGTTTTCTTTACTCTTAATTCATACCAGCTTCTTTTGGGGGATGGGCAACATTAGCCACTTATCACCCCCAAGCTTTATATTTTCAGTTTTCATCTAGCTATCACCCCCAGTACTGGCTACCACCTTTGGGTTTGGTTTTAAAAATCCCAGGGTCAATTCCTTGCATGAGGTACCCACCACTGAACCAATAATCTGTGGCCAGGCAGCAGGATCATGTAGCAAAGAAATAATGATAACTGGGAGCCTATCCCTGAATTTCAGGGCCTTCATAGAGAAGGGGCAACTGAGCAGGCAAGCAGTCATCTGGACGGACGGTGTCTGTTATAAATGGCTGTTCACTCCCTTCAGTGCTGTGGTCTTGATATTTAGTGGGGGTTACATGCTCCTTTGTGAGTTTGATAAAAGTAATAGATCTTCCTAGAAAAAGAAATACTTTCATAAAATTTTGCTTAAATTTTAAGAGATAATGTAGACCTTCTAAAGCCCAATGTATTGTTCCCAAGTGATAAACTTCTGCCTTGGAAACAATGTCTCTTGACAGGCTTCCCAGGCCAAGCCTGATCTGGACCCATTACTCTGCACTGCCCCCCACCGCCAGAACCTATTCTCCAGCCATGCCTGACTCCTCATGTGGACTGAGTTACTCCACAGTTTGGTTTGTGCTTCCCCATCCCACTCCACACTGTGAATTCATCCTGCAAAACTCAGTTCGTGAATTCTCTTTCAGGAAATAGCCCTGATTCCAGTCCACCAAAGCTGAAGCTGAGTTTCTAGATTAAAATTGCCTCAGATACCCTCAAATGCCATTGCAAGTAATTCCTGGTAAAACGTAAAAATGTTCTGTAAACTTCCCAGGTGGTCACAGAACAGAAAGAATAGACATCATGAAAATCAATCATTTGCCATCTCTTAGTAGATACTATCACTGTCTGTGCGCAATGGGCTAAATCTATCCTGTTTTTGTACAGCCTGTGAACTAAGAATAGTTACTACATTTTAAAATTGTTGACCAAAAAAAAAGAATAATATTTTGTGACACATGCAAATTGTAGGGAATCCAAACGTCTGTTTCTACACCTGTATTGGACACAGACACACCCTTTTTAGATTTCCATACTATCTATCGCCACTTTAGTTCTACAGCAGCAGAATTAAGTAGCAATGACAAAGACCATAGAACCCACAAAGCCTAAAATATTTACTATCGGGACCTTTACAGAAAAGTTTGCTGGCCGGGCGCGGTGGCTCACACCTGTAATCCCAGCATTTTGGGAGGCCAAGTCGGGTGGATCACAAGGTCAAGTGATCGAGACCATCCTGGTCAACATGGTGAAACCCCGTCTCTACTAAAAATACAAAAATTAGCTGGGTATGGTGGCACGTGCCTGTAATCCCAGCTACTCAGGAAGCTGAGGCAGGAGAATTGCCTGAATCCAGGAGGTGGAGGTTGCGGTGAGCTGAGATGGCACCATTACACTCCAGCCTGGGTAAGAAGAGCGAAACTCCGTCTCAAAAAAAAAAGAAAAGTTTGCTGACCTCTACTGGAGCCATTACAAATAATTAACATATTTTATTGGAAGTAAGACGTCAACGGTTATGTAGCACCGTTAGTTTATGAACCACCAAGAAATAAAGTCATTTAGACCTTAATAGGGAATTCCAGGGCCAGGCGGGGTGGCTCAGGTCTGTAATCCCAGCACTTTGGGAGGCCAAGGCGGGCCAATCACCTGAGGTCAGGAGTTTGAGACCAGCCTGACCAACAGGTAGAAACCCCATCTCTACTAAAAGTACAAAATTAGCTGGTATGGTGCATGCCTGTAATCCCAGCTACTTGGGAGCCTGAGGCAGGAGAATTGCTTGAACCAGGAAGGCAGAGGTTACAGTGAGCCGAGATGGCGCCACTGTACTCTAGGCTGGGCAACAGAGTGAAACTCCATCTCAAAAAAAAAAAAAAGCAGGGAATCTCAATATTAGAGATATTTAAATTTAGGGGAAGGATGCCTCTGCAATTAATTACATAAATTGTTCTTGAGTGTCTATTATGTGCCAGACAATGTAATCGTTATTTTATATTTATTTCTCTAACTACTCCTAGTTACTCATTGCCACAATAAGAATTTCCCAACAGAAAATAACCATGGTCTCCACATCATAGAAAAGGATACAGGCTCAGAAGGGTTAAGCAACGCACTAAAGGCCCACACAACAGTCACAGGCCTGATTTCACGGCCTCTATTCCAATTAACCAGGCTGCTCTCCAATGCAGCGCCTGTCCAGAACCTCACACCCTCCCCTGAACTCCATGCTTCAGCCATAACCAAGTGGGAACTGAAGTCTTTCCTGCCCTTGAGGCTGTTCAGTGCTCCTCCCTCCGCTAATACATCCCTTGCCTTCCCATCCTTTCCACGCCTCGGAGGCATCGCTTTTCTGAGGATGCCTTCCCAGATCAAAGGAGTGCCCCTCTTTTGGGCTCCCAGAGAAGTGCCAGTTCACCTCTCTGCTTCCCCAGGACTACCCTGGGTTCCTTAGGGATGGGAACTTCCTCCTCCGTTATCTAGTACCTGGCATAGAGCTTTACCCAGGGTAAGGATCAGCGCTCACTGCCCATGTTGATCAGCGGGGAATAGGTGGATGTACACAGCAAGCATAAGAAGGTCGGCATTTGTAAATTACACAGTTATTCACCTGGTCCCTGGTTCTCAAAGCCAGCCTCACCCCCTGTGCCTCCCACACTTTGTAGATCATAAGATAAGCAGTGAGAACAGCTTGTGTATTAAGGCAGTCACTTGGACACATGATTTCTGCGAGTCACCTCACTTCCTGGTCCCAGGGATACACCTCTGTTCTCTACTGTTGGTGTCTTTTGTCCGCCTGCCTGGCAGTACCTTTCTTCTTCTCTGGTTAGAAACTGCCAGCAGGACCTCCAGATCAGCCACAATCATGTTGACTGCCCAAACGTTTTCTCTAACTCTCAGTCGTGCACTCCCTCGTCTTCAGGTGTATCTATCTTCTAGATGCTGTGAGCTTCTCTACTGACACCTGATTTGGCTCTCAAGGCTCAGAGTCACAGGTATCTCCTGGTCACACCACCAGTCTCTCTTCTCAGACTCCTGAAAATGTGCCCTCCTATCCCCAGGAAAAGACACCAGTTTGTTCTTATGAATTCAAACCCCTAGAGGGGTTATGGAAAACTTTTAAAAGTCTACTTGTGAATTAAATAATCTTGTACATTGACCAGTTTATCAGCAGTTTAGCCACAGCCTTGCTAATGGGAAGAATTATCTATCAGTTAAAAAGGCTTTCAGCTGCAATCACAGATAACACAGCTAGCAATTGTTTAAATCAATACAAATGTATTTTCCTTATGCAACAAGAAGTCTAGAAGGAGGCATTTATTTCCGTTGGCTCAGCAGATCGCTGTAGCCGACAGGAGCTCAGGATCTTCCATACTCCTGTTCCGCCAGCCTTTTCTTTGGCTAATCAACCTCATAATTGTTGCCTCATGCTGACATAGTGGCTATTGCAGCTCCAGACATTGAAGGCAGAAAAAAAAGGGAAAGGGCTGGCAGAGGCTGCAGCTGTTTATTTTATTGGAAACCAAAATTCTCCCCAGAAGCCTCCACCCATGGCCTCCCCTGCAGGCTTCCCCTTACTGTCACTGGTTAGAACTGGGTCATGTGACTACCCCTAGCTGTAAGAGGAAAAGACTTGTCATAACTGATCAAGAATAATCAAGATTTATTTGCAGGGCCTGACAATACAGACGCTAAAAACAACCATGGAAGAAAATAGGAATGAAAATAAGATAGCAAAACTGCAGTGGCTACTTGGGATAGGCTTTCCCATCAACAATTCCAACCCCTTCCCAGCATGCAAGGGCTAAAAAGCAAAACAAAACAAAACAAAACAAAACCATGTTTTACAGACATGATTGCAAAAAGATACAAAGGCGGGCCCGACACCTTGCCTCACGCCTATAATCCCAGCACTTTGAGAGGCCAAGGTGGAGGATCACCTGAGGTCAGGAGTTGGAGACCAGCC